AGCAGCATAATCCCAAATCCCAAGACCCCCACGAAACACAAAGTCCCCTCCCCTCCCCGCCAACAAAAACAGACAGAATGGCAACCCTAAACCCCTAAACCCCTAAACCCTAAACCCCTAAACCCTTTAAACCCCTAAATGCTCAAACCCTAAACCATAAACTCTTAGGGCCGTTTCCCCTAAACCGAAGCCTTGCGTGTAGGGTACTGGAGGTTTAGGGTTGGGGTTTAAAGTTGAGGGTTTAGGGATTGAGGAGTCTTTGTGTGCCTTCTTCCGACTGCAGAGATTGGGGGGTTAAGGTTTAGGGTCGAGGGCTTAGGATGTTTCAGGGATTCCGGGTCAGGGTTTAGGGTTCAGGGTTTAGGGGGTTGGAAGAAAGCCCTAAACCCAAAGCCCCAGCAAGAAGCTCAGGAAAGGAAGGCACCTGGAAGCATCGCTTTGCCAGCAGGGGCAAAGGACTGCGCGGCCAGAAGCGCCGCCTGAAGAAGGGCCGCTTTAGAGAATGGAAGCCTTTGGGGGGTGGAGGGTTTTAGGCTTGTTAAGCAGGTGAGTTTAGGGTAGTCAGGGGTTTAGGTTTACGGCTTGGGGCTTGAGTTTGGGATTCAGGCTCGGTGTTTGTTCTCCGCGGCTTGGGTTTGGGATCTAGGCTCGTCTATGAACTTCGATAATTGATAAGGCGCTTTATTGATAACGTGTCTCTTGGCCCTGGTCTTCTGGATTTTGATTTACCTAGACACGTACATGTCGTACTTTTTGTGATTACCTTCGTCTCCTGTTATGTTTAGGGTTCTTATAGGATCCTAACCATAAACCAGGTCATCAACAAAAGGCACAGGTAGAAGTTTTACATTTGCCGCGAACCGTTCAAGGAGCTCTGGGTGTGACAAACACCTACCAAATATTTGGAGGGTCGGGGGACTTAGTAAGTAGGTAATAAGTAGACTTATAAGTACCCTAAAAGGGACCCTAATTGCGGTTATGATACTTATAAGTCTAAAAAATAACTACTTACTAAGTCCCCCGACCCTCCAAGTATAGGAGCCTGAATAAGCAGAATGGGTCTTTGGGGTATATCATTACAGTACAGTATTGGCTTGGGGGCAGGGGCTCATACAAGGTGCAGCTCCGCAAAACCGCAATGAAGCACAAAAGTAGCTGAAACCTTCCGTTCGAAAACTCTTCCCTCGATGGCCTACCTATTCATACATGGAGCTTCTGAGAATTAAGGGGTCCCTTGGCAAAAGGTCGACCTCGAGTAACTTCTTACCCACAAATCCTTTCTTACCCTCTTGAAGCTGCATGCATGACGAAAGTAAGACGAGAACGGTCTAGGGCTTTGGGTAGGAGTGCGAAGTGCGATAGGGCCAACCATGAACCCCTGATACCGCCCCAAGACCCTGCAATCGTGAACCCTGAAATCCGCACACCTCCGCAGATCGCCGTTGCACAAGGCGGCCTAGCGCATCTCGACCTTTTGCTGCTCTCTTTTGCTTCCCGTTCGGGCTTTTGGCTTAGTTTAGGGTTTTCAATTTTTGAAGTTAGGGGTTTAGGTTTGGGGCAGTGGTTTGGGGCCCCTCAGCGCTTGGGGTGTTAGGGCCTATAGGTTTACATGGCTATGATGTCAGAGCCTTGTGGATTATACAGATATTGGGGTTTGCGACTTTAGGTCGCAGATTGTGACGCTTACGGTGCGTACCTGCACTGGGAGGGTCCACGGTTTAGGGCTTTGCAATCGCGGCCAAGGTGCTCGGACGATGGAAGCGATGTATGAAATCATGGCTAGCCAATCCCTACACTCCCCCTGTTGTTCCAAGACAACTCCCGATGTAGCTATAATATATATATATATATATATATACATATACATATATATGTATATGCTTTGGGCTTAAAATGCCTAAAAGTGACTATTATATAGGTACACGGAGCCTTTGGGGCTGTGCTTTTCAAGACAAGCTCCTCCCCCGAATCGATGGTTCATGTGTGGTGTGAAACACGTCGGTATGTATGGGGCAGCGCACGTATCTTTACGGACTTGAGGCCTGAGTGTTGTTCAGAAGTCCGGTCTGGTGTTTGCGGGTTTAGGGTTTAGGGTTTAGGGTTTAAGGTTTAGCACAGCTCTGCATGGCCTTGCACCCTGAGAACTATAGCTCGAATGAGACGGGCCGCGAGCAAGCTGCCAGCTTGGGGAATGAACGTTGAACCCTAATTTCTACACCCTAAACCCTAAACCCTAAACTCTAAACCCTAAAACCCTAAACCCTACACCCTAAGGATCGATTGCTCATAAGGATGAGGAGTGAGGGTTTGGGGTTTCGGGTGCTTGAGCTTTGTAGTATTAACAGTAGTAATTATCATAAGAGCAATAATTGATCATAATCGTAATAGTAGCCATATTTCAAAGAATAACCAGAACAATAGAAATGGTAATAATAATAATAATGACAATACGATGACACAAATTTTCATACTGGGATGCTTCTGTTTTAGTGAGCATTCTCCAAAACCTAGGCCTTAAACCCCTAAACCCTAAACCCTAAAATCTGCCTCGTAAGCCCTGGAAGCGCCCGCCGAATCAAGCTGACCAACCCAACGGGTCCAAAGTACCTACAGACTGAGGGCCCAACCTCCAGAGTTCAGGGTTTAGGGTTCACGGTTCAGGGTTTTTATAATAGGAATTATAGTTGTCTGGTTTGGGCAAGTATCCCCCATATAGGTCTTTTTAGGACCCGTTGGGCAATGGAGGGTGTGGAGGTTGCGGCATGTTGCGGCGTAGGCTGCAAGGAAAGTGCACGATAGAGTCAAGGAGCTTGTATAGTTCTAATTGCATTCAAGATCACTTATGGAGGACGGCACACTTTGAGGTCATGACTCTGATAGTAACCTAAGCCTCTACGTCTCTGTGCCCCCATCCGAGTCGGGCACAACTTGCACTTTTTCGCATCTGCTGTGTCCTCCCCTGCATCTGCTTCGATAGCACATGCGCCCCGCATGTTTATGTTTAGAGATGATGAGGCTGCATCAGCATTTGCTCAGGCTTGGTGCTCCCGGTAGCCCGCCTGTCTAATCAACATACTCATCTGCGGATTGGCGTGGTCGAGAAGTTGAAGCAATTGCATGGCTTCAGTGCGAATGCAACCATGAGAGCTGTTTGCTGTGGCTACGACCTTGCGGATTGTAGCTTTTCTCAGGATGGCTGTCTCCTGCAGTAAAGCCTGCGGTACGTGGGTGCAGCAAGCCTGCAACAGCTCCAAGATGACCTCGATGTGACACGACTCATTCTCATCCCTGAGGCAGTGGAACAGTACTGGAAGGATTCCGAGTTCCACTGCGGCAGCCATCTGCGTCGCAACCTTCAGGGCAACATCAAGGCAATATAACGGATACTGCGCCAAGATCCTTTTGTTCTCCAGCTGGGCAATCAAAGGCTTGAGACATCCGTGTTCGCAAGCAATTTTTGCGAGATGCTCTGCACTGGAGATAAAGCCCCAAAGAGCAGACGAAGCTGCTTCTTGTATATCATCACATCTATGTCCCAACAGCTCGACAAGCACTGGAATGCCATCATCCGGAAAGTGTTCTGGATACTCGCCAAGCAAGCCTAAGGCATTCAGGGATTCCAGCATCATTTCTTGGCATCCAGATTGTGCCATCAAGAGCAAGGTGGGAACAACACCTGTTTGTGCGACGCTGAGAGGGTCACAGCAAAGTTCGCAAGCGAATTGGAGTGCCTCGAGCACCGCTCGTTGTGCAGGAGCAGGGCCAAACTTAAGCAGCTTCTCCAAGAGGCGGGCAACTCCAGCATCTCGAAGCGCATCGTAAACTGGCTCCCGCGTAGACCAGTCAGCCACTGAGCTCTTTCTGAACATCGCAAGTATGCAGCACGCAGTGCATACAGGTACATGCTGCCACGAGGCTAATGCAGATGACAAGAGACGCACGAAGTAAGACTTGTCTTCTATCTCGTGCCACCTACTTGACAGCACCGCAGTGACAACCCATGTTGCCCGATGAGCATCTTCCACCGCCCAAGCCACCAGACGAGGCATGTCTGCGGATCCGATGGCTCTTGCTGCAGCCTGGATGCATGCTGGCGCCCGGAGTTTGCCACCGAGCTGTTCAAGCAAAGGTGCGAGCTCAGCCTGGGGCAGAGCAATCTTGCAGCTGTCATCTGCAAGAATGGCCAATCGTGGCCAAGGCTTGTCGCCTTAGTTGCTGAGTTCATAAGCACCAAAAACTGTCAACCTTCAGTTCTAAAGGGGATCATACTTGTCATTATACCCAAACGTGTAAAGTGTACCGACTCCGCTACAAAGTCACGGAAGTGTCGGTTCGCGAGGGCCAGACGAGTGAGGTCCACGACCGTCAAAGGCGCTGCCAAAGCTTCAAAGCACGGTACCGCACCTAGGTTACCATGCAAATAAGATGGAGCCCAATACCCCTCAATGCCCTTAATTCCGGAGTATACTCAGAATCAGGACATGAAGTGGCATATAAAGGTCTCTACAAAACTATGTCACGCTTTCTGTACATATGCATCTTGCAAACTGACTCATTCTTGTTACGAACCTTCGGGCTCTCTTTCAACCACGGACTGCGCACGTTCATCAACTAGGCACTATCAAGTACCATAAACCCAACATTACATGTATGCTTACGTTTGTCTTACGTATGAATACACGTACACATAATGCGAGTTTATACAACATATGTATTTATTTATATATATATATATGTATATATATACCTATATATATATATGCACGTATATATATATATGTATATATATATATACACACATATATATATATATGCACGTATGTATATATATATATATATACATATGTATTTATGTATGTATGTATGTATGTATGTACCTATATATGTATATATAATATAAAATAATCTAACACAGTAAAATGTAATATAATACAAATATAAATATAGATATAAATATAAATATAAATACAAATACAAATACAAATACAAATACAAATACAAATACAAATACGAATACAAATACGAATACAAATACAAATACAAATACAAATACAAATACAAATACAAATATAAATATAAATATAAATATAAATATAAATATAAATATATGTATGTATATATATATATATATGTGTGTGCATGTGTGTGTGTGTGATTGTCTCTTTGCTTTTCTTCGTCTGTCTATTTGTGCACTGGGTTCCTATATTCGCTTCGTCATTACACCGAGACACACAAGGAAAAACATCCGCGTCCTGATCCCTGAGACGAGGGGGTCTTTCCTGTCAGACGCTTCTGAGGCACCCAGGTGCGGCTCATCGCAAAAGGGCAGCCCGGAGGCAAGGAGCTATCTTCTTTACTGCTGCCAAATTTGCGCAGGTTGGGCCACTACATACTCACTACATACTTGCTGAGGGGAGAAGCTGCATGAGTTAAGAACATGTGTGACACGAATACCGTAGCCCATCCACGGAATGCCATCGTGAATCTTCGCGAACACTCGTATGACCTCCAAGGTGTAGCGCCAGTGTGGGAGTCTAGGCTAGGAAAGTACGTGCGACCTATCACGTGCGTCTGCACCTTGCATCATTCATGAAATTATCCCTGCCAACGAATTTGAGCCAACATGTGAAGGCGAGGTAGATCCGTGTTACGAGAAGCAAGTGTGAGCCACGCTACTTGGTTAGTTCTCTAGATTGTAGGGTCCCTTTCAGGGTCCTTGTTTAGAAGGGTGCCGTACTATTTTGGGGATCTAACAAGGAATCCTTATATAGAGAACAACCCACTTGACTTGTGGAAACTACTCCATGTCCCGAAGGCCTACGGCACCCGGTTGGAATCCATCCTGGAACTGTCTCCTCAACCATGAACTCTGAATCCCTAGATTCAAGACAGCGTTCCAGGATTTAGGGCCCCAAATCATGACGGACGTTAGGTGCCCAGAGAACCCCAAAACGCTAAACCCCTCAACCCTGGTATCCGGAATCCCTCAACCCTAGCGCCTAATTTCGACACGTTATGATGGTACGCGGGTTCTCGCAACCTCTTTGCCCGGACGTGTTAGTCACCACATCGCACTACCACAAGACTGAGGATGCCGACGCCATGTGGCGAAGATGTTCGTGCGCTGCTCCTGCCATCTTCACCCCACCGGTTCGTGTCTAGTCTTTACTTGGAGGGTCGGCGGACTTAGTAAGAAGATAAAAAACAGAGTTTTAAGTTCAGCATGCTGAAACGGATCCTAATTGGGGTGTTGGAGTTCTGGGTACTTCTGACTTTATAAAGGGACTACCGGGACTACCTGCCAAGGCCCTAGTAAGCAGATTGCTATTCTGATTGTAACCTAGGGAACCCAATTAATACCCTCAACACTAAACTCTCAATCCCACGCCCCGTGTCGAATCCTTATAGAACCCATGTGGGAGCCCGTATAGGAACCCTTATACCAGCCCTTAAAGGAATCCTGAATCTACCTGAATGATCCTTCGGCAGTCCAGCAAGCCGCTGAGAAACCGTGTATACTGTTCGGGGAGTTAATTGATTAGAGAAAAGCAGAAAGAAGCACTTAAGACAACACCGAACAGCAACACACAAAACAGCCAATTTCTTCATGCATACAGAGTTCGCAGCTCAGCCCCTATAAAACCCAAGGGTTTGCGGGTTTGCCGTTCAGGGGGCCATTGCCCCAGGCTCGACTTGCAGAGCATAAGGCCCTGATTTGAAGGAATTGGTGTCGTGGGCCTGGGATTTAGAGCTCAGGGTCTGAACTTTCAGGGGTTAGGGCTTTTTGTTTAGGGGTTTAGGGATTAGGGTATAGGGTTGTGTTCAAGATTTAAGCTTTTCGGGACCCTGAAGCCCTAGACCCCAGACGCTAAAGCCCTAAACCCGGCAGGCCTTAGCATCTGGGCTTTGTGTAGTAGAATCACAACCATTATAAGGGGCTCTGGGGAATAATAAGGGTTTAGGGTTTAGGGTTTAAGGATGTTGGTTTTCGAACATTGATTCAAACAGGCTATTATGTAATTTGTGCAGTGGCCGGCGCCCTTGGAAAGAAACCTGGCTTAAGCTACCCGGATAGGATACGATTGCATAGGTTACATATATATATATATATTTATATAATATGATGCTATGCCTGCTATGATATGATATAATGTGATATGGTATGATAGGATATGAAATATTATGATATGATGCGATGGAATATGATGAGATAAAATAAATGAAAATGATATGATACATGTGTGTATGCAGGTATATGCATGCATGCATGTACACCTGGAGGCGTGCACACGACAAGCCCAGAGTGACAGCACTGAAGCACTGTGTAGTAGCTGCTGAGCAATTAGTTCTTCCAGGTGAGGATGTCCACCGCGTCCGTGTCGGGTGTGTCAAGTTGTGTCAAACTCCAAGTTGTAGAGATCTCACGACCCTCAACCCTAAACGGTGTGCTCCGAAGTAGTAGATCCGTGTAGATCATTTCATGTCCCTGGTGTCCATGTTCTTAATAACTTAAGACATGAACATCCAAAAGCGCTGCGTAGTGTGGGAGACCCTAACCCTCGCCCTGAAGCCCAAACCCTGTGAACCCTATAAGCCCTTTCAACCCTATAAGCCCTATAAACCCTAAGCCCCAAAAGTAAGGTATAGCAGCCCGGTCCTGCATGAACTCGTGGCCGCCCGGCATGTAGTGAAGGCCTTACCGCAAAAGCACACGGTCCAAGGTTACCTAGAAAGTTCCTTTAAAATTGCCCTATAAGAATCACCATAAGGGTTCTATAATGTTGGGGCCTTAATAATTAGAATAGGGTGTTGAGGCCCATTAACTATACTATAGTCATGTTAAAGAACCCCCAAAATAATATAGGCAATTATTTAGGCCACTACATTACCTAGAAACTCCCGAGCCATTTACTGTCTTCGTTGAGGTGCTTCTTGCGTCTAAGAGACTGGCCGTAAGCATGGCTAACCACGAGAACTAGTACGTTGGAGAGCTCAAGCAGGCAGTAAGGGCACCTTGCGTTCGTCGCGTCTTGGCAATTTGTACCTATTTGTGCTGAAAGTGGGCTGAGTCCTAAACCCTAAACCCTAAACCCTCTTTGGCAGGCTTCGGGTTCCCGGAAGCCTGCCTAAACCCGAAAACTCAAACACTAAACCCAAAACTCTAAACCTGAAGCTCCAAAGCCCTACTGCGCATGCGAGTTCCGAAGTTGGCGCGCCAAGGACCTACGATCGAAGCCGCAGCCCTGAACCCGACATCCTCCGGCACGAAGTCACAGAAACCCTGCAACCTTCCACAAGAGACCCATGTGGCATACCCCCGCAGCTTAGGATTGAGAATTTACGGGTTTATAGGGTTCCGGAGTCCGGAGAAGGAAGAAGGAAGACAAAAATATGATTCGATGAGGACCGTGGAAGACCTTTCACCTAGCCGTTCCTATTCCTAAACCCTTCTAAACCCTAAACCCTAAGCTGTGAAAGTCTTCTTGGTCCTCCAAGTCGGATACAAGTGCTTGTGCCTCCGGCGGCACGTTGAGATTGCATGTTTCCCTACACTCAGGGTCCAGGTACCCAAATAGTTGGACTAGGGCTCAGGAGAACCCTCCCCCCAGAGAAAACAAAAACCTAAACCCTCTACCCTAAACCCTAAACCCTAAACCCTAAACCCTAAACCCTAAACAACCTAAACCCTCTACTCCAATCCCCCCCGGGGACACGAGGATCCTATGAGCTAAGGATCCCTGCCGACGGCAGACTCCGTGTACCGCTGCCACCCGGGTGCCTGACGCGGCTGGGTTTTTGGAGTACAAATTACCCTTCCCAAAGGGTCCTAGGTACTGTTATGGGGGATACTTTCCCGAATCATAATATATTCCTAATATAGAAACCCTACATTCTACTATATAGGTACTTTGGACCCTTTGGGGTTTGCTTCCCAAGGACCTTATAGTTAGGGCCCTAGACCCCTTAAAGGCCCAATAATAAGGTTTTCTGGAAGCAGAGGGTGACATAAACTGTTAGGGTTTTGGCTAGGGCTTCGCAAGGGAGCTGCAAGGATTCTAGAATTCTAGAATCCGTTGCTGTATATACTTAGACTGGGGCTTTGTAAGGTTTTGCGGTGTTGTCGGGATGCTTACAGGGTCTTTATAGGGCTTCATGATGTTTCGCATACGGATCTTAATAAAACCACTTCAATGCAAGAAGTTTTCGGGAGAAAAATTGTACTCGTATACGAAAAATTATAAAAGGCAATCAGGGGATTCTCTTACTAAGTACATATTGAGAACCTTGCATTGGCGTTTGACCCCATGTACCCCCAAATCCCTCCTACCACCCCTAGATCGCTTGCACTGAACCCACTCAGACGTCTTGCGTCCCGGTTTAGGGTTTAGGGTTTAGGGTTTAAGGTTTCCTGCATAACTTGACTAGGGTTGTACCCTTGAACAAAATCATTAGGAAGCCTAGGTAATATTGGCTGCTCCGAATTTGTCAAACCCGTTTTGTAAAATAGTGGACCCTACATCCCTTGAGTCCCCCGAGCTGCGGTTTGAAGTCACTCCTCGAACACCCAAGGACAGGTGCAGTTCAGGCCCACGGTTTATATGACAAATGTCATGAAATGACAAACCCTAAACCCCAAACCCTGATTCTACTTCAATCCGAAGGCCATCCTCGCCTAAACCCTACAGCCCCTGAATCCTCAAGCCCTGCACGCTTCTCAACTTGTCCTCCGAGAACCGGAGTAAGAAGAACATCTGTAAATGCTAAAGCCTAAACCGTAGACCCCTAAAGCCTAAACCCTAGACAGTTCGGATGAATTCCTGAATGAACATATATTGGGCTGAAACGGTACCGAGTAAATCACAATCCACGCCCTGTCGATCGCGACACTGCCTCGAGCCACGGTGCAACGGTGTCGCTTGTCCCGCAGAACCTGATTAACACGCAGTATAGATGTACCACGACTCATTGAGACTTCTGTATTGCTGTACAACGTTCACCCCACGGCGTGCATCTTCGACACTCGTTCGCAAACAGAATATGCACACAGCGATGGGACTAGGTTGACAGGGATTTGAAGAATTAGAACATGTAGTGCAGTTATTCGGTATACCAAGGACGTCCTCAAGTGACAATGACTGCATGGGAGTATTATTGTCTGAAGTGCTTGCGGCTCGAATCGTTTCTTCGTTCTGGCTTCAGCCCCGGGGTCTAAAGCTTAGTATGTTGAGTATACGGGTTTAGATACTAGGTTCTGGGGTCAGGCTTCCAGGCTACACGCCAAACCCCGAAATCCTATTTAAACCCTAAACCCTAAGACTGGTATACCTAAACCCTAAAGCTCATCCCCTACCCTAAACCCTAAACCC